TTTAACAATACTGTACTGTATAAAGTTTCTAAAGAGCCTATACTACATTACAGCTACCTTTACTGGAACAGCATCAAACACTATGCATTCAAGGTTCAACATACAAGAATAACTGTATTAATTGTAACTTTCTATTTGTACAAGAAAAATAAGAATACTGTATATGAAAAATAAAATATATATACAGTAATGCCACATCCAAAAATAAAACCATTAAAGACATGCAAGAATATAAGTGAAGACACTGACACACACTGAAAGTAAGCTCATGATTTACAACTGGCATAATCCTCTTAAAAGCTCGATGCTGCAGTGAACACACCACAAACTCCAAACCCTCAAAAGGCACATGGAAATATACATTTTACGAATATATATATATATTTTTTTTTGTAATACAACTTACAACAAAGAGAAAGAAAAATTTGAATACCATGACAGATTCACGAATTGTGGATAAAGTCAGTCATCAACTGAAGGAAGGATAATTTCTCTTCATCAATGAACACCTGAAACACCCATCAAAGAATGCCACATGTGAACGTGACTACTGCACTATAAAAGTGAAGCGGGCAGGGTTTGACAGATCACTGGCTGGAGAGAACATGAGCTGCCCTCAGTAAACACACTCAAGCGAGAAGAAATCAGACACAAAGAGTCAGGACAATGCAAGGAGACAAAGATACAAGGGAAACCACCTTTATTGAGATAGCAGTATGGTGGCTGAGAAAATGGATCGGATTTCCCAGCAATCCTGCACAGAGGGAAAACCATAGGAAATAAACATCAGTTGAGGTAATAAATATATCAATTTACTCCTCCCATAGTACAAGTTCCACGAGTGACAGGCTAGCCAATTTACTGCTGATTTATAAACTCAATTGAAAACCTGATTATCAAGAATTTTTGCTAACATATTAATAGGTAATTTGAATTTAACATAACCTAAGGCAAGATTTATCTTGGGGGCTTTAAACCTATTGCCAAACCAACCTTTAGCAAGTACCATTTCTTAACATTCCTAAATACTGCAGCATCAATGGCAAAAATCAAAGTGAAATGTAAACCTGCATACACATCAACACGAATGGTCAATTTTCCCAAAGATCTTAAAGAGCATTATAAAAGCCTTTCTGAAATTTGTAAGAAAAGATTAAAAGTGAAGCTCTGCATTGTTGGGTGAATGGGCTAAGAAGCAGCATTACTGCCCCATTTCATAGGGTGGAGAGCAGGGTTAGTAAAAAAGTTGTTTTTTTCTGAAAACCCAACCCACCTGGGTAAGTGGATAGAATAAATAAATAAAACCCAACCCTCCAGGATAAGTGGGTAGCTACCATACCAACAATGGTCAAGAAGTATCTATCCAGAAAAAATGAGAGCAAATAGATAAAGTAGAAAAATAAATCACCACCACCACATCATATAACAATGTGTAAACTACTTTATTCCTCATGAGGAGTCCTTTCAAAATTCTCAAATATTCATGTTCAGTAAACTGAGCCAATGCAGTCAATTTTCTACCACATCTTATTTGCTACTTATGCTCACTCCGTTTCCTCACATACTCACTATGTCAAACCATCATTTTCTTGACCTTACTTTTCTTCTCCTACCTTCAACTTCACTTAAAAACTTAATAAAAAAAAAAGAAACTGCAGAAGGCCAATTGGCCCATACAAGGCTAAACTCTAAACAAGCAGCTAAACTCATTCCCATATCTAACATCTACGCTTGGAACAATCCAACGGTCCCAAGTCTATTATGTTACACGATAATTTGTTATTGAATAGACACTCTTAACAACTCTTATCGCCATTCCTTAGTATAAATATGATTAACCTACCTCAGTAAACTCTTCTCAATCTTAAGATTTACTGACTTTTACACTCCATATCTTTCCATGACATTTTCATTCCTTACTCCATTCTCCTAACACCTGGACACAGATTCATGAAGCAGTTACGCAAGCACTTACAAACCTGTACATCTTTTCTCAATCTTTGGCGGCTTTGTTTATAATTATTAAAGAGTTAATGAGCTCCGAAGTGCCAGGAAGCTGTTTATAACAACAACAGTTGATTGGGAAGTTTTCATGCTTGTAAGCTGTTTAATATATTTAACCAAGGCCATCCAAGATTGAGGAAAGCGGTACACGTTCGTAAGTACTTGCGTAACTGCTTTGTGAATCTGGCCCCTGAAATGAAGCTAAGATGGTCCATTTCTACAGCTCTACATCTTAATTTGTGGTGCTCCTGTGACACCAGTGTCTTACATATGCACAAAAGGACTACTACTCATTCATAAAGCCCTCTAACCACCTATCTTCTTAATTCTTTTTATTTAATTCCTCTTATTTAATTCTTCCCATCCAAGACATTTACTGCCCCAGCCATTTTACCTCTATGGCTTACTCTCTTATGCACAACCTACTCTTGTTCAGTTTCAGTATAGAGCCCAGAAATTAAATCTGATCCACCATTTCTAGGAATTGCCCATTTACAATCATGTTTCCTTATTGAAAAATATACAGCTAGATGGAATCAGAAAGAACTATTGAAATGCAAGTGTTTAAAGTGAGAAAATATATCCTTTTCAATAGAACAATGCGAGTATACTGTACATATAGAAATGGCTAAAACTAACCTCCAAGCTTACAACCTCAATGCTTCTTGAGGTTGCTAAACATGCCTTGCAGCTGTAATGGCATAAAGACTTCAGCACTACAGTACAGTACTTCCCACCTTCATCGGAGTGCAGAGGTAAAAGATTATTTTAAATTATCATTGTGGTAAATGGAAATTATGCTAAAGCAGGCTTTTAATTATCATTGATGTACTGCATTAGTAGGTAATTAAATAGCAAATGAAGGCACCAAGCATGGAAGACTATTCAGCACTGGCACACAATGTTCAAGAGATCCTAGATATCGTAAAGACTCGGCAAATCCAAAAGTGTTGCAGCAAATTATGGTACAGTACTAGAATTTCACTGCCTGTCTTATCATCACTGCCAGTTCTACTTATGATACTTTGTTCTACTGGAATGAGGGCAGGAAATTGGCAATAACCCTTCCAAAGTGACTGGGAACAGACCCTTTATCCAGATACAAATCTGGAATTATAAATGATTTAAAAAAAATTGAGTTACTTTTGCTAGTAGTAGCTTTTGCCAAAAGCTACTTTTGAAAGCTTGTCTTTCCACAAACTTGTGCATCATTCCTTTTACCTTAATTAACTGGGAAAACTAGTGCATTCTAATACTGTGGAGGACCTTATTTTTGTCATGGATTAGTTCCCTCTCATCTAACCTCAGCAAAAGCAAAAGAAGATTGCTTGAACCAAATTAAAACTAACACTAACCTCCTCAGAAAGATCTGAACTTAGGAACAGTGGTGCCAGCACTGTACAATAAAAAATGCCATTATATCAGTATGCAACAAAGCCACTTGTATATACTGTTAGTACGTCAGGCCCAATGTAAGTGCTTCATATTCTCTTTTGAGTTTTTATATAGACAAAGATGACCCCGGCAACAGTAAAATAGCCACTCAAGTGCAGGGATTAGATGCATTTATAAGTCAACTAATTAACTGACCACCACTTGATCTAGCAAGACAACCCGCCAAACACACACCGAAACTACGACGTTGGTACTACGTTTGAACAAGTTTTAACACTTCCTAACCAATTATAACAACCAATATAGCAAGTTGTAACAACGTTCTAATACGTCATAAACACGTTAAGCCAAGATGTAACAACTTTATTACAAGTTGTAACAAGCGGAAAATAGAGAGTTTCGGTTTGTGTTTCCTGGGAAGAATTATAAGGTGTCTGGGGTGACTCAAGATGCTGGTTTGGTCACACTGTACTGCGCCAAAGATGTTCTCATAGATCTCCTTTGACTGCGATTTCATTGTGTAAGAAATTATATATCCCCTCATTTGACAAGCCAGTAAACGACACGATTATACACCAAAAACTAGAAAAAAATAACAAATAGAAACAACAATACAGTTCCTCCTAAGCAACAATTGAACTCAGGACCCTTGGATAGTTAGACCAGTATGATAACTTCCCCTTCTATATTATATAAAATTATTTAAAGCTTTATGTTCATTAAAGGTAAACAACATCTACAAGTCAGTTTGCTCACTGTAAGTGTCATATGTGTTACATGAGAATGAAGTTGATTGTTTTACTAATAGGAAGTTACACTTTCCTAACAGAGATTAAAAAAAAAAAAAAAAAAAAAAAAAAAAAAAAAAAAAAAGAGGGCTTAATGTCCACATTAAGTGCACAACTCTTTGTACATGAATTTCCATGTTCAATACAAAATGCTTTAACTTTTATATGTTATAAGGCAGCCTCAGAATCCAAGAGCCATATCCATCTTATTAAAACATTTTTATTGGCTTAGAATTGGATTATAAATTAAGCTCTCCAAAAATGTGTGCATAAATTTTACCGAGACATTACCTGCCATCTCAAGGTGTGGAGTTCCCAGAGAACATGCAGTCTTAATTAATGACAAGGAGATACATAATGGATACACAATACCGCTACATCTTTCCCAGCTAAAAGCAGAGCACTTCAAATATGAATATCCAGCCGGAAAACAAAATTTAACTGCACTTCTATTAGCTTGAAATAAACCTTGCTTGTCCATCAAGTCATGAGCCCTCTAAAAGTAGCAAATTACAGTACATAAGTAGTATGATATACTGTATATAAAATACATGCACACAGTATTGAAGCTGAGATTACTGAACATACAAGTCCTCCAAAAGAAGATTTAAACAGGACAGTATGAATGATGAGTAAATTTACTGCTGACCATAAACAATACAGTATCGTTAAGTGGCAAACTTTCTTTTCTCATAAATAGATTATCACAGCTGTGGAGCTTGATCAATCAGCAGAAAGCTTAGATTTAGGACCGAGCTTAGCATTCCAAACCTCAGGAGTTACTGTACCAAAAACAAAACTTTAATACCAAACCTTATAAAATGAATGAAGGTCGGTAGACATTCCTAATTGCACAGTTGGATGAATTTTCGACCAATCACACTGAGAAGACAGTCCAAGAAAAGGAGAACAAGACACTGGTCAGAGAAATACATTACACTATCAACAAAAAAAACATTCACAAATTGGGAAAATAGTAGTTAATAAGGAACCACACTAAATATGTGCCTCAGAAAATCTTGAAAAAGAAATTTCCATAAAAATGCTAACAGGAACCCATATTTCCTCCAGTTGTAAATCAATGTACTTCAGAAATGGAAATTAAAACTACAAGCAAACAAAACGATTCAAACTAGACACCCTTCAAAAGAAGGACCGTGGCTACATCAAAATTGTTTAACAGATACAGGCCCATAAGTTACCACTGTACACAGTGCACATTGATGTTCTTACAGTTGAAAAAGAAGAATTATTGCATTTGGGTATAAAGTGCTTAGTATCTTATAGACATTTCCATTTGATTTATTGTATTTTGGAATAAAGTGCTTAGTATCTTATAGATATTTCCATTGAAAGATTGTCACAAAATTCAATTTAGTTTCAGAATAAAATTGCCCCTTTTTTCATATGCACAAAAGTCTGTTAAAAGTATTAGTATTATTGTAAAAGGGTAAAAAACACCAGCATGACCAGGCAGAGATTCCTCTGAGAACAGGAACCTTATATAAACATGTCGTAACCACACTGCCATAATTTTCAATTTCAACTCAAGATATTTAAGGGTACATCTTCCCTTACCCCTCAAGAGCCAATTACAATTTACACAACACCCATAGTACTGAAATAAAATTGACTACTGTAGCAGCGAATGCATTTCTAACCTTCTCCAGTCTGCCCGTCTCAAGAGCCAGGTGCAAGGGGGAGTCCACTCTAGCTCCAACCCTGGCCATCTCCCCAGTCAGTTTGGGACTCCCTCGCGCACCCCTCGGAGATGTTAGGTGTCGCTTGCTTTTGGGATTCTTCTTAACACACTTCTTGGAGGGGTCACCTGTCGGACTGTACTCCAAGCCTCCTGCTAAAGGTTTGTCAGGAGTCCCAGAAAAAACGCTAAATTTTTGGATTTTCTTGTTTGAAGGCTTAGAACTATCCTCTAATTCAGGTGCCCCAACTGGTATACTTTCTGACGCACTACACAGCAGACTGGCAGAGGTGGCAATCTGATTACTTCTGTAGCCAATTTCCTGATTCCTATCCCAGCACTTATAAGATAGACTCAATGCCTGGTTAACATGTGTGTCTCTACCACTTTCTTGCAAATGTTCTAATCTCACAATTTGCCTTTCTTGGCCTCCAAAAGTAGATATACTGGCCTGTACAACTGGAAGACTTTGGGTCTGTCTGTTAGGGCTAACATTTATTTCAGATCCGTAATTGATAAAACCGGGCTGTATTGTTCCACAATGTCCAGAACTTTTTTTCATCCCAAGACTCTGACCACCTATGCTAGCCTGCACTGGAATCGGAGACAGAGGAACTGGCTGCTTTGCCGTCATACATGATGGCGGATCTAACCTGGGCACAAGAGACGAAGACGCCGCCTGTTCCCCTACACCTACAGCAATTTTGCCAGTGTCTTGCACACCCGGACTAATTGGAACAGGTACTTGGGGGTTACAGTGAGAGCTACCATTTCTCGGTGTTTCTGCACCACTTTCAATATCTGAGGTAACCAAAAAAGGAGGTTCCATTACCCGGCCTCCGATCCGTGCCTCCAGGAGCTCTTGTTTACGAGGATCCAGGGCATTGAAGTGCTCCATCTTAAAGCCTGTCACCGCTCCTGAAAAGAAGAAAAGTTCATTAGATTTTTAATTTGAACAAAAAATTAACGCACAAGAAAATATCAGATTGAAGTACACAAAAATTATAAGATTGAAGTACGTACAGTACAACAAAAATTATTAAAGCACAAGAAAAAATATTAATTGCATTAAAGCACAATAAAAAACAATTCATGAGACTAAAGCACAAGGAACAATCATGGGGAATATTTTGTAAATAGTGCGGAATGTCAACCATACATTTACTGATTAAACTTCATCAATGCTTTACTCCTACTGGAAACCTCCCTTCCTTGAAAGGGGGGAGAATCAATTAGAACAATACCATCACTCCCCTTTCATGAGAGGAGGGGGGGGGGGGGGGAAGGTACAGCATCAATATAGTACAATACCATCACAGGGGGGAGGGGAGCATCAATATAGTACAATACCATCACCCCCCTCTCATGAGAGGGGAGAAGAGCATCAATATAGTACAATACCATGACTCCCCTTTCATGACAGGGGGGAGGGGAGCATCAATATAGTACAATACCATCACTCCCCTTTCATGACAGGGGAGAAGAGCATCAATATAGTACAATACCATGACTCCCCTTTCATGAGAGGGGAACTTCAACATAGTATTACTATCAACATGTACCATTAAATCAATGTGGAAAAATAAAATCTTGTGAGAGGTTATCATTAAGCAGAAGGAAAGGAGGAGGAGGAAGGAGCAATGAGCCAGGGTTGGGAGAAGGGGAAGGAAGAAAGGGGAGAGGAAGAAGGGGGAGGAAGAAAGGGAGGAGTAAGGGATAGGTGGAAGAGTGGAAGTAGAAGGGGGGATTATAGAGGGGAAGAAGCTGGAAGAAGGGAGAATGGGGAAGAAAGAGGGATTGGGAAGGCGGAGCAGGAAAGGGAAGGTGACAGAGGAGGAAGGGAAGGAAGAGAAATTGGAAAAGGAGGATATGGAGAAGGAAGAGAAGTCAGTGGATGAGGGTGAGGAAAGGGGAGAAGGAGTGAGGAGGGGCAGAGAGGTCAGGGGAAAGGGGAGAAGGAGTGAGGAGGGGCAGAGAGGTCAGGGGAAAGAGGAGGGAAAGATATAAGAGGAAGAGGGAGGGGGGAGGGAATAAGAGGGAGGGGGAGGAAGAAGAGGGAGGGGGAGGAAGAAGAGGGAGGGGGGGGAAGAAGAGGGAGGGGGGGAAGAAGAGGGAGGGGGGGAAGAAGAGGGAGGGGGGGAAGAAGAGGGAGGGGGGGAAGAAGAGGGGGAGGGGGGGGGGGAAGAAGAGGGAGGGGGGGAAGAAGAGGGAAGGGGAAGGAAGAAGAGGGGGGGGAAGAAGAGGGAGGGGGGGGGAAGAAGAGGGAGGGGGGGAAGAAGAGGGAGGGGGGGGGAAGAAGGGGGGGGAAGAGAGGGGGGGGGGAAGAAGAAGGGAAGAGGGGGGGGGGGGAAGAAGAGGGAGGAGGGGGGAAGAAGAGGGAGGGGGGGGAAGAAGAGGGAGGGGGGAAGAAGAGGGAGGGGGGGGGAAGAAGAGGGAGGGGGGGGAAGAGAGGGAGGGAGGGAGGGGGGGAAGAAGAGGGAGGGGGGGGAAGAAGAGGGGAGGGGGGGGAAGAAGAGGGAGGGGGGGAAGAAGAGGGAGGGGGGGGAAGAGGGAGGGGGGGGGGAGGGAGGGGGGGAGGAGGAGGGAGGGGGGGAAGAGGGAGGGAGGGGGGGGAAGGAGGAGGGGGGGGGAAGGGAGGGGGGGGAAGGAGGGAGGGGGGGGGGGAAGGAGGGAGGGGGGGGAAGGAGGGAGGGGGGGGGAAAGGAGGGAGGGGGGAAAGAGGGAGGGGGGAAGGAGGGAGGGGGGAAAGGAGGGAGGGGGGAAGGAGGGAGGGGGGAAAGGAGGGAGGGGGGGAAAGGAGGGAGGGGGGAAAGGGAGGGGAAGGAGGGGGGGGGAAGGAGGGAGGGGGGGAAAGGAGGGAGGGGGGGAAGGAGGGAGGGGGGGGGAAGGAAAGGAGGGAGGGGGGGGGAAGGGGAAAGGAGGGGGGGGGGGGGGAGGGAGGGGGGGGGGGGAAGGAGGGAGGGGGGGAGGGGGGAAGGAGGGCGGGAGGGAAGGAGGGAGGGGGGGGAAGGAGGGAGGGGGGGAAGGAGGGAGGGGGGGAAGGAGGGAGGGGGGGGGAAGGAGGGAGGGGGGGAGGGAGGGGGGGGGAGGGAGGGGAGGGGGGGAAGGAGGGGGGGGGGAAGGAGGGAGGGGGGAAGGAGGGAGGGGGGGAAGGAGGGAGGGGGGGAAGGAGGGAGGGGGGGAGGGAGGGGGGGAGGGGGGAGGGGGGGAAGGAGGGAGGGGGGAAGGAGGGAGGGGGAAGGAGGGGGGGGGGAAGGAGGGAGGGGGGGAAGGAGGGAGGGGGGAAGGAGGGAGGGGGGGAAGGAGGGAGGGGGGAAGGAGGGAGGGGGGAGGAGGGGGGGGGAAGGAGGGAGGGGGGAAGGAGGGAGGGGGGAAGGAGGGAGGGGGGGGAGGAGGGAGGGGGGGGAAGGAGGGAGGGGGGAAGGAGGGAGGGGGGAAGGAGGGAGGGGAGGGGGGGAAGGAGGGAGGGGGGAAGGAGGGAGGGGGGGAAGGAGGGAGGGAGGGGGGGGAAGAGGGAGGGGGGAAGGAGAGGGAGGGGGGAAGTGAGAGGGAGGGGGGAAGGGGGGGAAGGAGGGGGAAGGAGAGGGAGGGGGAAGGGAGGGAGGGGGAAGTGAGAGGGGGGGGAAGTGAGAGGGAGGGGGGAAGTGAGAGGGAGGGGGGAAGTGAGAGGGAGGGGGGAAGTGAGAGGGAGGGGGGAAGTGAGAGGGAGGGGGGAAGTGAGAGGGAGGGGGGAAGTGAGAGGGAGGGGGGAAGTGAGAGGGAGGGGGGAAGTGAGAGGGAGGGGGGAAGTGAGAGGGAGGGGGGAAGTGAGAGGGAGGGGGGAAGTGAGAGAGGGGGGAGGGGGGAAGTGGGAGAGAGGGAGGGGGAACGGGGGAGGGAGGGGGGGGAAGTGAGAGGGAGGGGGGAAGTGAGAGGGAGGGGGGAAAGTGAGAAGTGAAGGGAGGGGGGAAGTGAGAGGGAGGGGGGGAAGTGAAGGGAGGGAGAGGGAGGGAGGGGGAAGTGAGAGGGAGGGGGGAAGTGGGGGAGGGGGGGAAGTGAGAGGGAGGGGGGAAGTGAGAGGGAGGGGGGAAGGAGAGGGAGGGGGGAAGTGAGAGGGAGGGGGGGAAGTGAGAGGGAGGGGGGAAGTGAGAGGGAGGGGGGAAGTGAGAGGGAGGGGGAAGGGAGGGAGGGGGGAAGTGAGGGAGGGGGGAAGTGAGAGGGAGGGGGGAAGTGAGAGGGAGGGGGGAAGTGAGAGGGAGGGGGGAAGTGAGAGGGAGGGGGGGAAGTGAGAGGGAGGGGGGAAGTGAGAGGGAGGGGGGAAAAGTGAGAGGGAGGGGGTGAGAGGGAGGGGGGGGGAAGTGAGTGAGAGGGAGGGAGTGAGAGGGAAAGTGAGAGGGAGGGAGGAGGAAAAGTGAGAGGGAGGGAGGAGGAAAAGTGAGAGGGAGGGAGGAGGAAAAGAAGGGAGGGAGGAGAGAAGAATCAGAGAGGGAGAGCCAGAGGAGAAAGGGGAGGGAAGAGGGAGGAGAGGGGAGGAAGGCTGGGGTGAATAGGTGGGAGGAGAGAGGGAGGATGGGGTGGAAGGGGGGGGAGGGGGAAGGGGGGAAGGGGAAGGAGGGGAAAGGGGGAGGAGGGAGAGGGGGAAGGATGGGGAAGGGGAAGGGGAAGATAGGAGGGAGGAAAGAAAGGGGGAAAGAGAGGAGGGGGAAGGAGAGGAGGGGGAAGGAGAGGAGGGGGAAGGAGGGGAGAGGAGGGAAGGATGGGAGCAGGAGGGAGGGGAGAGGAGGAAGGAGGGAGAGGAAACTGGGAGTGGGAAGGTGAGAAATGGGGAGAAACTGAAGGAAAGGATCTGATGAGTAAGATGGAATAGGGATGAAGGTGGGACGAGGAAGGGGCGGTGGGAATTGAGAAGTGGATGGAAGGGTATGGGAGAGGGGAGGGGGGAGGTAGCGAAGAATGAGGGGAGGGGGAGGTAGAGAAGAATGAGGGGAGGGGGAGGTAGAGAAGAATGAGGGAGGGGGAGGTAGCGAAGAATGAGGGGAGGCCCCTATAACTAAGGTACTAAGCACCTCAAGGTAGGTAGGGGGAGGTAGCAAAGAATGAGGGGAGGGGGAGGTACAGAAGGAGGGGAGGGGGAGGTAGAGAAGGAGGGGAGGGGGAGGTAGAGAAGGAGAGGAGGGGGAGGTAGAGAAGGAGGGGAGGGGGAGGTAGAGAAGGAGGGGAGGGGGAGGTAGAGGAGGGGAGGGGGAGGTAGAGGAGGGGAGGGGAGGGGGAGGTAGAGAGGAAGAAGGGAAGGGAGGAAAGAGGGGAGAAGCAGGAAGAGGGGAGGAAGATGAGGGAAGGAAAAACAGGGAAAGAACAGGACAAAGAAGGGGGAAAAAGGAGGAAGAAAATATAGAGGATAAAAAGATCCTCGGGAAGGAACACTGATCAAATCTGAAAACTAATTAACCACACCAAAGGAAGTGGTTAAGCATGCACACCCACTCCCCACACATACAGTCCTCCTCTGTACCTATTGTCCCACAGTGGCAAAATGACGAACATCTTGTACATTAGAATATTCCCCCTCCCCTATAACATGTCAAAAACTTTTTGTTCAATTCAAATGGATGTAAATGCCTTAAGGAGTGATAATGTTAAGACATCATCCTATAAAAAGTAATACGTTCAAATCTCACAGGGAATAATAACCGAGAAAGAAGGAAATGATAACAATTAATAAAAAGTGTTCAGTGTACCATACTGTCACAATGAGAATCACAACAGTTTAGAGAAACAGCAACAGCACCTATCAGTTACCAAGCTAACCTGGTACTAAGCATGTGCAACAATTCTACAATGGGTAGCAAGGCATTGTAGTCCCGCGCTACAACAATGGGTGACAAGGCATTGTAGTCCCGCGCTACAACAATGAGTAGCAAGGCATTGTAGTCCCGCGC